TGCCATAGACAAAAGGTAACAAGATGCAATTATACAACTGCCATGGTGCAAAATGTAATTTCATAACTTTTTTGCGTCAAGAATAGTGCTAACGCAGGAATAAAATGGTGCATAAGTTGATTTTGGCGTACAATTGGAGCAATTTTTTGCAGTTGAGGTTGTAAATGTCTTAAATGAAATTAGTCGATCGTGTGCTCGATTCAGTTCGACTTAATAATGTTAAAGCGTATTCAATTAACGAGTCGAGTTTGTTAAACTCAAAAATAGGGTTTTCTGTTTTACTTTAGTTCAGCTTGATAAGAATCGAGTTTCGCTAGATTAGGGCGTGCTTGGAAACAAATATATCCACTCAAAACAATTTTTTTTTGCTAACCAAAGTTAATTTTGAAAAAGGTGATATGGTTAGTAATTTGTGGAATTTTGAATTTATACTAAAATAGTATTTAAAATAAAATAATTAAAGTTGATTTGATGTAAAAATATAAGAGATAGTGAATTAGTGAATTTCAGTGAGAACCGTATTTGATGCTATTTTTAATTGTATATGATGTTATTTTTAATATTAGATGATGCTATCATTTTCACAAACCTTAATATATATTGTATTGCTATTTTTAATAAAATTTAGCCTAGTTAAAAATAGCACCAAACACAATCAATCATAACACTAAGCACAATTGAAATTAGCACGGTTCTCACACTAAGACTTGATTCTCATTTAAAACCACATCCTATATATATATACAAATATTCTATGGAGCCATCGGATAATTTTCTTATGGAGCCATCAATCACCTAATGTATTGACACCTGTCCCATGTGTATTTATTATAGGACACGTGTCAATACACTATTTGTGAATAACTATGGATGACTCCATAAGGCTTTGTTTGGTTCGGAGGAAACGGAGGGGAGGGGAAGGGAGGGGAGGGAAATTTTTAGTTTTCCCTTGTTTGGTTCGATTTTAAGTAAGGGGAGGGATTAAGATTTTCCCTTCAAATCCCTTGGAGGAGGGAAAATACACACCCCTCCAAAAGTGGGGGAATTTGGAGGGGAGGGAAAATTTTTAACATCAAATTACTCTTTTGACCTTATTGTGAATTATTTTATTTTTTTTTTCTTACATCATTAAGGATATATTTGTCATTCTAACATTATTTTCCCTCCCCCTCCATCTTCTAACCAAACAAGGTTAATCATTTTCCTTCACCTCACTCTCTACAAAATCCATCCAAACAAGGTAAAATATTTTCCCTCCCTTTCCCTCCCCTCCCCTCCCTTCCATTAAATTCCCTCCCCTCCCCTCCCCTCCCGTGAACCAAACATAGGCTAAGTCGAGTCATTCGATGGTTCCATAGCAAAATTGTATACATATATATATGAAGTAACATTAGTTGTGTGAGCAGATTAAAGTTGTTCCTAAAGAAAGTATGCCCGAGCAACATTGGTTGTGTGAATAGATTTGGTTCACGTATACTTTCTTATTTTTTTTAAAATTACGTGAGTAGATTAATAGTGAATTAAAATTGATGTAATGTATAAAAATAATTAATTATAGATAATGTAGTTGAGTTAAACTTGAACTATATTTTAAGTACGAATTGAGTAAGAATCGATAAAATTTATAAATAAACACACTTATTGGCTCATTGAGCTCAACTCGATAAAGGGTCTAGAGCTTGAATATAAGAGATTTGATCTCATCAATTCCACTCTACATACATGAACCAACAATGGCAAGGTTAGTAATCTACACCAATTTTTAGTTTTACGGCATATGAGCTTCTTATGATAAAGCTTCGAGCCTGAGTTTGAGTGTCAGAAATTCGTGCTCGGCTACTCGACTCCGTACAACTATACAAGTAGACATATGAACCCTGAATCGGCACGGACCTAGGTCGTGCTGGGTCCATGGCACGTCCAAATAAAAAAAAAACAAAATTAAAAACCATGTGTTTTTCTCAGGCCGGGCCAAGTCTAAAAACAAGGCCCTAGACCGGTCGGTTGTCGAGCCGGTTCCGGAGCCGTGGTCAACGGGCTTGACCGGGCCGGTCTATGCAAGAATCATCATTCAGAAGCGGCACAGTTAGTAATTTACGCCAACTTGCAGGGGCATATGTGCACCAGAGTCTGAAAAAAAGGACAAAAGAGCAGGTGAGTCAGCAGCAGCAAAGAAAAGAGGTTGACCGAAAGATCTGCTCATAGCGCTTTTTGGTCCCCACTGAATTATTTCTTTTTTTTACTTGAAATGTCCAAATATTATTTGCAAATTTCGAAAACAAAAGAAGAGAGTAAAAAAAAAAAAAATTTCACCTTTTTCCGATTAAAGGAAACCAAATTACACCTCTGTTTTTTCACCAAATTTTAATTTACCTTCTCTCTAGCTAAAGCTTTTCAAGATTTCCAGTTCATGAAAGTTGAACCCGGATTTCAAATCCTTTTCTCAATCGAATTTAAATTGAGGCCCCTCGAGTTTGACTTATTTGCAAAAGGAACAAGAAATAAAGGGGTGATGAAGAAGAAGAAGAAATAAAGCAAGATTTTTTTTTACTCTTCATCTTCTTGGTTTCCTGTAAATTTTTACCTCTGTTTCAGCTGCATTCAGGTTGGGGTTTTTGCTTTTGTTTCTTTATGTAATTTTTTTTTTTT